AAGCGGCGCTGGTTTATCCTCACGGACAACTGCCTCTACTATTTTGAGTACACGACGGTGAGGGCGGGGCCGAGGGGCAGGGGGCCGGACTCCTGAGTCTGTGGGAGGCAGGGGCTGGGGGGTGTGGGGGAGACTGGAAGTCTGAACCCGGTCAAACTCGTTCTCTCAGGACAAGGAGCCCCGAGGAATCATCCCCCTGGAGAATCTGAGCATCCGCGAGGTGGACGACCCCCGGAAACCAGTAAGACCCTCCCTGTTCCCCGTCCTGCCGTGTCGGGGGGCCTCGCCTGGCCCCAGGGCTGGCTCTTCCCAACTGCCCATCGTCTCGTGTCCACCCAGAACTGCTTCGAGCTCTACATCCGCAACAACAAGGGGCAGCTCATCAAAGCCTGCAAGACAGAGGCAGATGGCCGGGTGGTTGAGGGGAACCACATCGTGTACCGCATCTCGGCCCCCACGCAGGAGGAGAAGGACGAGTGGATCAAGTGCATCCAGTGAGCCTGCGCCCCGGAGTCCTTGGGGAGGGCTGGCCGGGGCCCCGGGCCCTCAGCCCTCACCCTGGGATCCCGCCCCTTCTGCAGGGCCGCCGTGAGCGTGGACCCGTTCTATGAGATGTTGGCCGCGAGGAAGAAGCGGATTTCTGTCAAGAAGAAGCAGGAGCAGCCCTGACTCCCTGCCCCCAACTCTTATTTATTACGGAGCTGCCCTGCCCGGGTGGCCGGACCCCCGGGCCCTGGGGCTGCGGATCCCGGTTCCCCGTTTGGAAAACTCATCTCCTCTAGCTCCTCCCTCATTATTTGTAATTAATACGCTGTTGGTAATCTTATGAATTATTGAACCATTCGCGGCCTGCGGACCCCTTATCTCTTGGGGTTGGTGGAGCTGAGGTGCTTGGTGGAGCTGGCCTGGTAACGCGTGAAGAAAGCGCGCTGTCCGTGCAGCTGAACGAACCGGGCATCTCCTGGATGGCTCATTTCTGGTTTCACCCATAGCCCGCGGGGGTGGAGTAAAGGAAGTTTAACTGGGTTGGAGTGAGCGTTGCATTAGAACTGAAGGGTGCTGAGAATGCAGGTATGCAGCGCTTCCGGGACGAGGTCTGCCATTCATTCTAGACGGTACTTGACAGCCAGGCGCCAGGCAGACACTCATCCCACCTTTGCCCTAATGGGCTTGTGGTCTTTGAGGGGCAACAGATAATATCTGATCGGCTGGGCTAGAGGTCAGTGATGTCGGGAATAGGTTGGGACCAGTGTAGGTGGGGCGGGGCTTTGGGGCCAAGAGGGTGGGACTCTGGGCCAATTTTACCCGGGTTTCTCAGCCACTAGAGTATCATCCTTTGGAAGACATTTTACACCACGCAGGGGTAGTGCTGAGAACCGGCATTTTTATAACATCTCCTTTCCCGGGAATCTGACAGCTTACAGAAATGTAAGGACCGCCTTCTCTGAGGGTGAAACCTTGCGGGGTGGGGTACCCTTGAGCCCCAGGTCCAGGCTTGATCCCCTTTGCCTTCCAGCTTGGGGTGTGTGTGGTGTCCCCAAGGAACAAAAGCACGTGGATCCCGAGAAGGGTGTCGGGAGACCCCGTCTCTCTCCTACGTCCAGATCTGCAGCTGAGGAGGATTTAGTACGAGAAACCACAACTCCAGACAGGCCCAGGACCAAGCCCCTGCTGGAAGGGAAGCCTGTCGTCCCAGGGCGTGCCTGAACTGCAGTTATCCTCCGTGTCCCCAAGGGATCTAACTCCTAATTGTTGAGTGCTGCCAGTGGGGTGTGGAAGATCCCGGGTCTCGGGGCGTTGACCCGGCCCCGCCCTTGGCCACAGACATCAGCGGGTGTGAAAGCTCCTAATGGCTGTAACAACTCCAAGGTGGTGCACCCAGACCTCCCGGGAGACTGCCAGACGACAATTCCCAGCAAGCTATGCGGCGCTGGCCGCCCCACTGTCGGGAGAGCCATTCTGGAGGTCTCCTGGGAAATGTAGTTTCTTAAGACTCCCATGTTGGGTTTCCCTTCGGCTGATCCCCTGCCCCCCACTTCCTCAGGTTGGGAAACAAGGCCCTGCGTGACCGCTTCCACCCCAGGGGCTGATGGGGAATGAAGTTCCCAAATGAGGAAATGGAATTCCCAACTCCTCTCAAAAATTCCACGGAAATGGAGTCATTGACCCAAGAAAGTCATGGGAAATGAGGTCCTGGGTCGATGGAGGGTCCCACCACTGTCTCCCCCCGTGTTGTTCTCCATGGAATGAACCCATAGGTACCGAGTGCCTGTTGTGGGTAAGTAGCTGGCTCAGTGGAGATGCCCCAGAAGAGCATTCCAGGCAAAGGCAACAGCATGTGCCAAGGCAGGAAAAGGCACACTGTGTTGGAGTAGCTGACAGCATGTTGGCGTGCCTGTATGGTGTTGGTGGAGTGGGGCTGGGGTGATGGGAAATGGAGGAAATGCCTGGGCCCAATCATTTGGGGCCTGGGCAGCCATGTTAGGACTTTGAATGTACTCTTAGCTGATGGGAAGCCATCCAAGGTCATGACACAGGAGAGTGATGTATTTGGGTTGATGGTGCAGGAGGGGGCCTTTGGCTGTTGCAGGAGAGTAGTTTGGAGGTGAGCAGGGGCAGTAGCAGGGAGGTAAGTCAGGAGGCTGTGCTGTCATTCTGGTGTAAGAGGGTGTGGCCACAGACTTGGAGAGACCCCGACCTGCATGAGTCCTTTTGGAAGAGGAGCCAGCAAGACTTGCTGAGGGCTGGGTCAACTCTGGGATTCTAGCTTGAGCAGCTGGTGAATGGCAGTCATTTACTGAGATGGCTAAAGGGGATTCCTGGGGGGAGAAATCAGTGGCTCTGTTTTAGCCAAATTAAGCTGGAGATGCCTGTGGAACATTAAAATCAGACTCCAGTCACCTCAGAATTGTCCTTCAGTTTTGCCCCCAATCCGTCTTCTCCCCAAGGATGGAGAATTCTGGCTCTCAGCTCCCTCCTCTCCCAGGACGCCATACTCCCAACCCCCTTGTTACGGGTTGAACCGCGTCCCCCACAAATCCGTATATTGAAGTCCTAACTCCCAAAACCTCAAAATGTGATCTTATTCCAAAATAGGATCATTGCAGATACAATTAGTTAAGATGAGGTCATTAGTGTGGGCCCTAATCCAATTTGACTGGTGTCCTTATACAAAGGGACATTTTGGACACAGAGACACACATGCAAGGAGAGAAGGCCATGTGATGACGAAGGCAGAGATCAGGGTGATGCTTCTGCAAGCCAAGGAACACCAAAGATTGCCAGACAGCCACTGGAAGCTAGGAGACAGGCCTGGAACAGATTCTCCCTTAGAAGGAACCAACTCTGCCGACGCCTTGATCTTGGACATCTAGCCTCCAGAACTGACACAATAAAGTCTGGTTTAAGCCACTCAATTTGTGGAACTTTGTTACAGCAGCCCTAGTGAGCTAATACACCCCTTCACCCTCAGACCCAGGAGTCCAGGCCCCCAGCCCCCTCCTCCCTCAGACCCAGGAGCCTAGGCTCTCACTGCCTAACCTGGCTGGGTTCCATGCAGCACCCACCCTGGGCAGACATGTTACAAGATCAGTTCAAGAACCACCAGATCTATCAGAAGTGGCAGTAGGGGACAGAGGCAAAACCTAATCCTCTCATTCGCTCTTTCTCCATCGCCCACAACTTACATGTGACCCTAATGCTCTCATCATCTTAATTCCTAAGCCAGGAGTCCACACAGCATCCCAGCTGGGTCCCCACTCCTGACCCCTTCCCTCCTCCCTCATCCAAACTGCTTCCTTCATATACACAAATGAATCTGGTACCAAGGTGACGGCGGGTGGGGGTGGGAGGAAGACAGGTTGAAGGCAGGAGATCAGAGATGCAATGACAGACCCAGTCAGAAGAAAAAAAGACAAAGATGGAGACAGAATCAGTCAAGAGACCAGGACAAATTAAGAAAAAGAAATCGAGACAAAAACCCGTGGCAGAAAGACATGATAGAGACAGGAAGGTGATGGGGACACACAGACAAGGAGAAAGTAGAGATGGGGTGATACTCAGACGAAGAAATAGATGAGAAGAAAGAGGCTGAAGACACGGGATGGGAAAACAAAGACAGAACTGGGACCGGGTGAAATAGGGAGATAAAGGGACAAAAAACAGAGAGAAATTTGAATGGAGAGGTTCAATTAGGGGGAAGGCAAGAGAATGTCAGAGAGGTGGGTGGTCACATGGAGAAACAGGTAAACTGAGGCACAGTTACCATGGGCAGGGAGATAGATTCTGACCCCTCGAGGCAGAGGGTCTGTGCCTCGAGGCACAGGCAGTGCCATTCTGAGGTGTGTGGGATGTGGCCATGACCCAGTGTGGGTGCTGGCAGGTCATTTCTGAGCATTTTCCTCACCAGCACTGGCCCTGGGACAGCTTCTGGCCACCTTGCAGAAACCCAGCTCTGACCATAACCTGCCACCTTCCCGAACCCTTGCCGGCTCCTCGTCACCTCCTGAACTGTAAGTTGAGGCTGCAACAGAAGTTGGTGATGCCGACACCAGACTGAGATCCAGAGAAGTGGAGAAGCCGGGGGTCTCGCTGCCACACAGGCATTTCTGCCTTTCTGAGCCTCGATGTTCCTGTCAGATGGGGCTGTGAGGATGGCCATATCTCCTGGACAGCACCCGGTCCCTGCAGCCTCCCCTCTTCATCTCCCGAAACACACACATGCCCCACGTTCCTCCAAAAAGTTGTTTTTTGTCTTTTTTAAATAATGTGAAAATGCCACGCGAAGGTTTGAACCAGAGGCCCCTCCAGGGGCCAGGCTGGGGTGGGAAAGGGGAGACGCGAGATGGGGGGGTCCAGGTCCCTGAAGCCTTCGGCCCCTGTCTGGGGCTGGGAGTGGGTGAGGAGGGGCCTCCACTGTGCAGAGGGGCTCCAGGCCCTAAAGAGTTCAGTTCAGTTCCGAGAAAGGCGGCTCTCCAGGGAGGGGTGAGGGGCTTCCTGCCTCATTTGGCACCGAGGGGATCAAGGGGCTCAGGGGAGCCGTCCGGGGGGCTGGGGGGCGGAGGGCCAGGGCCTCCTGTTTGGCACATGGTGGGGGAGGGGGAGGGCCCGGTCTCGGGGGCCTCCCCGGAGGCGGCGTCTGTGGTGGTGGCAGTGGCTCCATCGTCCACAGAGGATTCTGCTCTCAACCCCTCTTCTGGGGGTGCAGGGGGGTCAAGTCTTCGGGGAGTCAGTTCTCCACGGGGCCTGAGGACGGAGGGAGAGGAGAGAGAAATGGAATTACTGGGCAGAAAGGCTCATGGCTTCTGGCTTGCCGATCGGAGTGAAAACCAAGCCCTCACCATGGGGAGCGCCCCACCTGATCTGCTCTGTCCTTTTCCTGTCATTTACTCCCACCCCCGACTCACTCTGCTCCAGCCACAGTGCTCTGCTTCCTTGCTGTTCCTCCAAGCACAGTCCTACCCCGGGGCCTTTGCACTGGCTGTTCCAACTGCCTGGCATGCCCTTAGCCCTTCCCATAGAACTCAGGCCTCCGTCACCATGCCCCCTCTTCAGGGTCTTCTCCGGGCCATTCTCAGTCAAGCAGTCGTCCCCCTCACCCCCCAAGGTCATTCTATCTCACTGCACTATAGTTGGGGGGCGGTGGTTTGTTTTTTCGTTTTTCGTTTTTTTTGTCGGCGCCACATGGCTTGTGGGATCTTAGTTCTCCGACCAGGGATTTCACCTCGGCCGTGAAAGCACTGAGTCCTAACCACTGGACTGCCAGGGAATTCCCTTCCACTACAGTTATTTTCTTTCACATTTCTCCTCTGGGATAATCTCAGTCATTGTCAAAGAGCTAGCTTCCTGTCTGCTTGCCCCTCTAGACTGGAAGATCAGAAAGGATGGGACTGCATTTGGTCACTGCTGCATCCCCAGCATCCAGTAGAGGCCCTGTACAAAGCGCCGTCCCACCAGACTTTCCCACCATGATCCCTTCTCTCCCAGCAGAAGGAGAGCCTCCCACCCATACAACAGATCCAGAAAACCAAGTCTGTGGGGTGGAGACTCTCAACCAGGGCTACCCACCAGGCACCCTCCCACTCCACCTCCCACTTCTCACCTGAGTGGCCTGGGTCAAGTCATTGCCCTCACTTCCAGTCCCTGAGCCTCAGTTTCCCTCCCTCTAAATGGGGAGCATGACCCTCGTGTCCTTTTCAAAGGAGTGGGGAAACTCTGAGATTCCCGGCATCACTCAGCACCCAGGGAACGTGTGTGAAGTGGGCAGAGCCACCCCCCAGCCGTGGTCTCGAAACCGGCTCAGCAGCTTCCCAGCCCAGCTGCGGAATAGCTAAGGACTGAGTAAAGGGATTTGGGGTTTTGTGTGATCGGGCCCTCCCTCTCCTCTCCAGGTGAATAAAGGTGAAGTCATCCTGGATTGCTGGCCCTATGGGCCTCAGCCCTGACTCAACACTTGGCTGGTGTCCCCACGCCCTGGAACCCACCTCACCCTGTCCTCTTGGGGGGCCTCTGAGAAGACCTCTGGGAGGAAGTGACATTTGGGGGTGAAATCTGAGGATGTTGCCAAGTGAAGGGTCAACCCTCAGCCCACCCCTCCTGCCCTTGACTCTGTATGTCCTCTCCTCTCCCCCCTGGAGCCTTGCCTGGCCTCCTCCCCAGCCTCCCCGCCTCCACTGGCCCCCACAAGGCCCGGGAGAAGTCTTACTACACCCGGGGCTGATGCTGCCCCTCCCCAGCTCACAATCCTCCCGTGGCTCCCTAGTGCCCCCAGGACAAAGTCCCCGCCCCTCAGCTTACCCTCAAGCCCTGCGGGGGGGGGGGGGGGGGCGGAAGAGGATAAAGCTTTTCTACAGACCAGAGGCAGGGGGAGGACACCGCAGGGGGGGGGGGGGGGGGGTCTGTCCTGCTCTCTCTCACTTCCCACACCCAACCCCCTCCACCCAACTCTGCAAGTAACCTCCAGACACACCCGCTTCCCTTCTGTTCCATGAATCAGCCAAGCTCTCTCCTGCCTCAGGCCCTCTGCAAGCTGTTCTGTCTGCTAGCACGCGGTCCCCTTCCCCTTCACCTAGTTAACGACAACCAACCCTTCAAGTCCCTGGTTAAAGGACCCTTCCATCACCGAGGACACAAAGCTCTTTCCTCTTGTCATCTGCTTTCTCAGCAAGCCTGAGTTGGCACTTATTCACTTACTGTGGGACTGTGGGGTAGTGCTGTGGGTAGGGCGGAGGGGGGCTCACTGATCTTGCCCAGCACGGAATCCCAAGAGCCCAGTACAGCCGATGTTTGATAAGCATCTACTTCGTTAAACGCAGTAACAGCTACCAGTTAAAGACCACTGCAGCGCGCAAGGGGACGATTAAGCCATTCAATCCCCTTAACCAACTTAGGAGGTAGATCCTGTTATCCTCCTCGTTCTACAGAAACTGAGGTACAGAGAGGGAAAGCGACTTGCCCTAGGTCACCCAGCCAAGAAGTGGCAGGGCCAACACCTGAACTCAGGCACCTGCTCAGGTAGGGGAGCAGGTATGTAGTCCCCCCCGAAAAGAGCCAGTTGCACCTTCCCCCTACTTAGTTCTGTCCTCTGGGAACACCTCCACCTGCCTGGCCCAGTGCAAGGCCTGTATGCAGGGATGTTCTCCTAAGGTGGTGGTGAGGATTAGCATTATGGCGTAAGTGAAACGCAAGAAAGGTACCTGACAAATGCTGACTACTGGAGTGGACACAGACTCAGAGGCCAGGCAGCCAGGGTTTGTGCCCCGGCTCCTCATGCCTCTCTGTGCCTCAGTTTTCTCTTCTGTAAAATGGGGATGAGACTAGAATACACCCCATGGAATCATAGGGAGGATTAAATGGGGTAAGATGTTTCCAGCACATTCTAGGGTCTATGAGAGTGCTTGCTGTTATTGCTATGGTGCTCCCTGGCCATGTCCTCTCTGTTCTGGTTCATACTAACCAGCTTTGAGCCCCCTGGTTTCCTCTGGCTTCTTGTCTGCCTCTGATCAACCTATGCCCCCCAAAGGAGATGGGATCAAGATCCACCAAGTACCAGACAGGAATCTTAGCACAAAGATGGGGCAAAGATGGGAAAGAAAAACAAAGAAAGAGAGCGAGGGAGGGAGGGAGGCAGGGAGAGAGAGAGGGAGAAAGAAACACAAAGAAAGAAAGAAAGAAAGAAAAAGAAAGAAAGAAAGAAAGAAAGAAAGGAGGGAGGGAGGAAGGAAGGAAGGAAAGAAAGAAAGAAAGAAAGAAAGAAACAGAAAAGAAAAGAAAAGAAAAGAAAAAAGAAAAATGATTTGGGGCTTCCCTGGCGGTCCAGTGGTTAAGGGGGCGCGGGTTCCATCCCTGGTCGGTGAACTAAGATCCCACATGCCAAGGGACGTGGCCAAAAAAAAAAAAAGAAAGATAGGCAAGACTCAGAGGGGATCCTTACAGAAGGGAAACTGAGGCTCAGGGAAGGGCGTGATTGCCCAAGCCCATCTGATGGACACCTCTTGGTCTGAGCGGGTTCCAGAGGTGGGTGGGGTTTCGCTGGTGAGCAGCCAGACTGAGAGAGGGGAAGGAAGAAACTGGGAGAGAGGCAAAGAAATTCAGAGAGATGGGGACAAGAAAGTGGGAGAGACAGATGGGGAGAGATTGGCAGACGTGGGGCAGGGCCAAGGGTCTGAAGCACGATACCTGCGGGCCGGGCGTCGGGGGCCCGGGCGGGGGGCCCCGGGGTCTCCAGCGCAGGCGAGACGGAGAAGCGGGAGAAGCACAGGGGGGGGCCTGGAGGGGGGAGGAGGGGGAAATCCTCCGCCCACTCGAAACTGCCTCCTAGCATTGGGGGCGGGGGTGGGGTGAGGAGGGAGAGGAGAGGATGCGGTCAGACCCTCAGTCACTTCTTCAGCCCCCCGACCCCGCCCCTCAGCAGGCCCCGCCCCGACGCTGCCCTTCCCATAGACCCCGCCCCCAACTCTGCCCCGCCCCGCCCCTCACCAAAGCCGCTGTCGCTGCTGGGAAACCCATCTCCGGGGGTGGCGGAGTGGGGAAGCGTCGGGGGCGCTGGGGGCGTTGACGGGTCCGTGTCCCCCTCGGGGGGGCCCTGGACACTCAGCTCGTTGGTTGGCGTCTCCTATGAAGGCATATGAGGGGAGGCAAGAGGGGGGCGAACCGTCACATCGCACTCGCTACATCCCAACAAGCAACAAACCCCGCTAACATTTCTGGGGCTTCAGGCATCCCGATTTACAATCGCTCTCTCTGGAGATCCCCTAATCTGCCTTCGAAGCCTCAGGCCAGCTTTAACCTCCCCCGGCCTGAAGCTCCTCCCCCGACCACGGAGTCCCGCCCACAGCTAAGTAGTCCACGGCAGGAGTTCTCTCCCGGCTCCTTAACGCGCTGCCTCCACGGAAGCCCCTAACCCAGGACTGTCTCCGTAAGTCCCATCCCGTCTCCATGACCCTTACTCACGTCCTAGATCTCGGCCACAGGCGTCCAAGTGCGGGCCCCACAACTACCTGCTCCTATGGTCCTCCAAACCCTTAACCCATTTTGAGCATCTCCGGACCCTCCCGCGAGCCCCTAAGCCCCGCCCTCTGAAAAGGCCCCGCTCCAGTTTGTTTCAGTGCCCTAGGCCTCAGCTCTTGACCCTGTTCTCACTCATCTCAGAACCTTAGTATGCCCCGCCCCAGGTTCATCTAGACAGGGCCCCAGTCCACTACACCGCCCCCAGCACTACACCGCCCTGTTTTTCTCTTCAACACTAACCTCCCAGGCTAGTTACTTTTAACACAATCCCCAACCCATCTCTCTTAGCCCCGCCCAGTTCATTAGCTGTGTCCCATCCCTGAACCCACTACTGCACTTAGTATCTTAACACTACAAGCAGCATCTCTTTAAGCCCTACCTGCAGCTTCTCCATGGCCCACCCCTAGTGGATAAGATCCCCTCCATCCTGAGCCGGCCCCTCGGCCTCCACAACATTAGAGAGCTGGTGCAGAAACCCCACCCCGAACTTAACTAGGCTCCGCCCCCACCTTACAGACCACGCCCTAATCCTCTCACTTTCTCCTTAGCCTCTGACCACCAGGTACCGCGCTTTCCTTCCGGATCCGTTCTCATCTCCAGGCCTCTCCCTAGCCCTCCAGCACCTTCCCCCACCCCAGGCCCCACCTCTGCTCTGGACTCGGCCCTTCCCCAGGCCCCGCCCCATCCCCAGGCCCCGCCCTCACACTCAAGGACTCATCCTGCCCTATTTCCCTAGCCAGTCTCTCCCCAGGCTCCGCTCTCACCCTGAAGGCCCCGCCCCCACTTGAGGCGCGGCCTTCCTCCAGGCCCAGCCCCATTCCCAGGCCCCGTCCTTACACTCAAGGCCTCGGCTCGTCCTTCAAGTCCCGCCCCATTCCCTGGCCCGCCCTCACCCTGCAGACTCCGCCCCCAATCTAGGCGCGGTCTTCATCCAGGCCCCGCCCCTCCCTAGACCCAGCCCCGGGGTCCTGCGCGGGGGCAGCCCACCTGGTCGAAGAGGTAGACGGTCACGTCCCCGTGGAAGGAGACCATCTTGCGCTTCCTCTCCAGCTCGCTGTCCTCGGGTTCGTCGGCCCCGCGTGGAGACTTGAGCAGCCCCCGCAACGGGCGGGCCGCGTCCGTGTCGGCGCTGCTCACCACGACGGGCACCGGGGCTGCCCGCGCTCTCCCGGGGCCCCGCCGCCCGCGCCCGCCGCTGCCGCCTCCTCGTCCTCCTCCTCGTCCTCGTCCTCGTCCTCCCCGTCCTCCTCCGACGGCCCCGACGCCCCCGCCCCGCCGGCCTCCCCGCCAGCCGCCCCGGCGTCCACGCCCTCCCACGGGGGTCGCCGCGGGCCCGGCCCCGGGAACGGCGTGAGCGTGAGCGGCGGCAGCGCCAGCGAGAGCCGCGAGAGCTTGGCTGCGAGGGGAGACACCCGGTGAGCTCCTGTTCCTGGGGAAACTGAGGCATGCCCTCCCGCCTAACTCTGTGTCCTCAGGTAATCTCAGCCACAGTCTGGGCCTGTTTCCACCCTTGTGAACCAAAAGGCTGCACTGGGGGTCTCCAAGCAGAAGGGTAGCGGTCTTCCCCCTACTCCAGTGCTTAACCCTCCCCGTGGCTCCCCAGTGCCCACAGCACAAAGCCCCAGTTTCTCCCGGGGCCACCAGGCCCGAGTGCCCTGGCTGTGCTGACCTCTCCTGGTTCTGTCCCCACCTCATTCTGGCTTGACCTCCATCCAACCACATGGGCCACATCCCCATTCCTCCCACCTCTGAGCCTTTGCATAGGCTGTTCCCTCTGCCTGGAACTTCCTTATCTAACTCAAGTCCTATTCATCGTCCAGCTCTGTCTGGACTTTCAAAGCCTTTGGAGATCTACCAAGAGGTCAGGCCAGGCAACCTGCTCTGCACCCCATAGTACCAAGCACCTCGCCGTCCTAGCGGTTGATCTCAGTATAGAACTGTAATTCTGTGGCAGTGTGATTAATGTTTGCCTTGCCACAGAACAGAGACTGAGTTGGGCTCATTCTGGCTGCGTCCCCAAACCCCAAGGACACAGAAGTACTCAGTCAATATTTGTGGGATTCGTGAATAAATGTTCCCTGCTACACAATGTTGACCAAGGTACTTTCTTTCCCTTTTTGGCCCTCAATCGCCAGAAAATTGGGGTGTCTAGCCATCTCCAGGTCCTTTCCCTGCCCTAAGACTCCTTGATCTCAGCCTGCTGCGAGGGAAGGACTTCAGGTCCCTGGAGGAGGAAACCTCACTTCAAATCCCAAGCCTACCCTGCTCTCTTGCTGTGTGTCCCTGGGCAAGCAGATCCACCTCTCTGAGCCTGTTTCCTCACTGGTAAATGGAGGGGCCACTCATTCCTCCATTACTGCATAAGTGAGCTGTGTGCCAGGCCCTGTGGGGGGGCGATGGTGGGGATGAGAAGAGGGTCAGGGCAGGGCAAGGAGAAAGATGGATGTGGACCGAGTCACTCTCCACCCCTCATTCACTCAACTCCAGCTTCACCAGCATTTTGCTATTCCATGAACATGCCAAGTTAATGTCCATCTCAGTGTCCTCTACCTGAAACATCCTTCTCCCAGATGTCAACCTGGCTCACTTCCTTCATGTCTGCTCAGAAGTCACCTCCTCATTGAGGCCTTCCCTGACCACCCATCTCAAGGTGATGGGGTGGAGTGGGGCTTTATAGAGGAAGCTATCAAGGGCTGTGGTTACCCAGAGGAAGGACAGGGTGACAGTCTTTCAAAATCAGGAAGGCTTCCCAGGGAAGGGGGAATTTGAGTGGGGTCATGAAGGATGAGTAGGAGTTCACTGGATTTAAAAAAAAAAAAAGAAAAGCATGCTATTCCCAGTCTCTTCACACCCAACAACACCGACCCGCCCCCAGCCCCGCTTCAGATCCTCTGAGGCATCTTAGTTGCTCATCCCCTGTCATTTTCATGCTGCCCAGTGTCTTTCCTGACACAGCTGGTTGCAAACTCCCCACAACAACCTTGAGGAAGTGGTAGTGTTCTAATGCCATGGGTTTGAGGAAGGAAGGTTCTGTGCTCAGTCCCCTTCCTGACCTTTCCCTCTTGAGCCTCAGGCTCCTCTGGCAAACAGAGATAATAACCCTTACCTCAAGTGTGGCTGTGAGGTTGCCAATATAAAACAGGCCCAGTCATTTATAACTTTCATACCAGTATTTAAGGAAATCAGGCCTCTGGATGATTCCAGTGGAACTACAGTCCCTATGTCCACATCTAAGCAGGGGCTGTTTATTTTACTCTCCATTTATCTTCTCTTAAATTGTCCCCTCTCTATGACAAACTATTTCCTGTGTTCCTATCAAAACTCAATTTCCAGAAAAGGCCTTTCTACTAGGCTGTCAAGCCACCAGTACTGCGGTGGGCAGGGCAGGATCTGAGGCTCCCTGGGTCTCAGCCCTGGACAGCTCAGGGCCTGGTGCACAGGAGGCCTGGCACAATGAATAGATGCCTCAGCTTGTTGGAAAGTTTAAACCAGAGATCACGCACTGGCAGCCCAACCCACAGAAAGGCTTCTTTTGAGTGGGTTTCAACCATTAATACACCCAGAACTCTGGCTTAAAGGGGGAAAGCAGCAGATTTGGCAACACCAGGTGGGCATTCCTGAATGGAGGTGAGAACTAGCTGCATTTCCTCCACAACTCCTACCCCACGTCTCCCAGCTCTCATTCATTCATTCATTCCCACCTATCATTCACATTCCTGAATGGAGCTGAGAACTAGCTGCATTTCCTCCCCAACTCCTACCCCACGTCTCCCAGCTCTCATTCATTCATTCATTCCCACCTATCATTCATTCCCTTATATTGTCTGACCCCTGTGGGCATCTGAGTTTGCATCCCCTAGTTGACGTGAATTGTGATATAACAGCAGGTGCTTAGAAGTGCCAGGCGTTGGGCCAAAGGCTTTGGAAGTCCTAACTCATTTGACCCTCACAATCCTATTAGGTAGGCGCTATCCTTGTCATCCGTTTTTGGCAGATGGGGAAACTGAGGCACAGAGAAGGTCATCTGTCCAAGATCACAGCTAGGAAGGGGCAAAGCCAGGATTTGAGCCCAGGGAGTGTGGCTCTAGGGTCTGCACTTGTCATCATCAGGCTGACCTGTCTGGTACCTGGGAGCCTGAGCTTCTCAACTGCACCCTACATCTTGGAAGGAGCTGGGCCTCGGCCCCCAACCGCGCTCCCGTGCTCCCAGCAGCCTGCTCACCTTTGATCTGCTCGCTGTTCCCCTGAGGGGGTCCCAAGTCCAAGAACAGGCGTGGCATCTCGGGGCCCTTCCTCTCGGGCTTGGGGGGGTCCCCGTCTTCGTTGGGTGCTGTGTCTCCGCCGGCTCTGCTGTCTGGGACCCCGGGCTCTCCCTCGGAGGCTGCCTCCGGCCTGGCTCTCTGGGGCGCTGGCTCCGGCCTCGTCGGCTGTGTTTCCAGTGGCGGTGGAGGCGGCTGTGGCCTCGTGCTGTCGACCCATCCGGCCTTTGCGTCCACGCCGCTTCCGAGGCCGCCGCCGGGGGCCATCCCCATGCCCACTGGGGCTCGGACCCCACTCCCGAGGTCCAGCCTCCCAGCCCCGGGGGCTCTCGGTGCCCCCCCAGTCTCGGGGGCTCTCCTCTCGGTCCCGGGTTCCAGCACCCCGCTCCTGGGGGCTGGGCCAGTGGGGCCAGGGACTGTCTCCCCGCCGTTCAGGGCCAAGACCACTGCGCCAGGTGCCAGGGCTCTCTCCAGCGAGGTCTCTGGGGCTGGCTCCCCGTTCATGGGGGCTGGAGCCCCACTCTCGGGCATCTTCTCCCAGGGCCCTGGGGCTCTCCAAGGCCCAGTCTCTGGCAGCCTCTCCGGGTTCCTGGGGAGTCTCAGGCCCCCATTCTCTGACACCTCCTCGATCTTTGGGGGTGTCAGTCCCCCATTCACCAGCACTTGCTCTTCTCTCGCCGGGGACCCCAGGCCCCCATTCTCCAGCACTTTCTCCTCCCTCCTTGGGGGTGGCAGCTCCCCATTCGCCAGCACTTGCTCTTCTCTCTCTGGGGACCCCGGGCTCCCGTTCTCCGCCACCTTCTCTTCGACGCCCAGGGCTCTCTGTTCCCCGTTCTCCAGCGCTGTCACCCCGTTCATGGGGAGGCTCGGGCCCTCGTGCGGGCTTGGGGCTTGCTTCCCGCTGTCCAGGACTGTGGGGCCCCTGCTTGGGCCCGGGGCTTTCTCTCGGTTCCCGGGGCCTCTCGCCGCCCTCCTGGGCCCTGTCTCGCGGGCGGCTGCCCCCTTCTCCCCCAGGAGCTTCCTTGTCACGTCCTCCCGCAGGGACATCAGCAACTGCTCGGTGCTCACTTGAACTACGAAGGTCGGCTTCTCCCGGGCCCCCGGGAGCGGGAGGGGACCCGGGTCTGGGGGTGGCCGGGGCGCTCCCGGGTCGGGGGGCTCGGGGGGAGCCCGTGGTCGAGGGACCCCTTCCTCCTCTGCTGCCCCCCCACCGGGGAAGGCTCCCTCGGGGGAAAAAGGGGTCTCGGTCTCGTAGCCGCTGTCGCCCGGTTTGGGGCCCGGAGACGACAGGCCTGAGCCGGGACTGGCCACGGCCGAGGGGGGGTCGGGGGACACGGCCGGGTCCGCGGGGGCCCGAGGAGGTGGCGGCGGCGGGGGGGGAGCGGGAGGTGGCCCCCGCCCGGGGGACTGGGGCGCCGCCGCCCCCATGCGGGGGTCCAGAAACTCGGCCAGGGAGCCCCGCTCCGCCCGCAGGGACGAGTCGTCCTCGGGGGGATGGGGGCAGCCAAGAGCAGGGTGGCCGCCCCAGCCGGCGACGGCGTCCCCCCGCTCCAGGGGCAGGCAGGAGCAGGCCCCCTCGCGGCTGCACAGGGGACAGGGTAGGGGGCCCCGGCGGCTGGGGCCCCCCCCAAGGCTGCTGCTGTCTTCCCCCGGGGAGCTGCCTTCCTCCTCCTCCTCCTCCTCTTCGGCCCACGGGGTGGTCCCCCGCTCCCCCAGCACCTCGGCGGGGTCTCCTGCCAGGGTCTCCCCGGCGCCCCGGCCCTCGGGGTCCCAGCCGCTCAGGAGGAAGCTGCCGGAGGATGAGGACTGGGCCGGGAAGGGCCGGGCCGCCGGGAAGAGGGGGGAGGCCCAGGTCTCGGACACCAGCTGGGGGACCTCGGGGGGGGCCTGGGGGGCCTGGGGGGCAGGCACTCCTGGGTCCAGGGGGTCCCAGTCATTGGGGAAGAGGGGCTCTGGCGGGGAGCCATGCTCCTCGAGGCGGATGTAGTATTCGCTGCTCACGGAGGGGCTGCGGGCGCTGATGACCGGCAGCACGCTGGGCGTGGACAGCGCCTCGTAGAAGGGGTTGGAGGGGTTGGCGTGGGGGGCCGGGGGTGCGGACGCCGGCTGCCAGGTGGGTGCCCCCCCGCCCCGACCGGCCCCCCGCCGCGCCTTCTCCCACAGGCACTCAAGGTTGAGGCCACGGCTACTCTCGGTGACCGTGAGCACGTCGTCCGGGTCAGCCCCAGGGAAGCCATCCAGAAGGGGGAACGGAGAGGACAGGGTCCCCGGGCGGGGCACGCTGTGCTGCGGGGGCCAGGGCCAGGGGAAGGGACCATCTCGGGGGGGCGGCGGCGGCGGCGGCGGCCTTGGGGGCCGCTCGGAGAGCAGGTAGGTGAGCTGCAGTTGCAGATCAGAGGCCGAGGGCCGCTGGGCAGGCGGCCGCCAGCAGGACTGCAGGATGTCGTACCTGGGGGAGGGGGAGGAGGCAAGAGTGAGTATCCTAAGGCAAGAGTGAGTAGGGCAGAGTCCTGGGGGGCGGGGGGTCACTGGGGGTGGGCAGAGACCAGGAGAAAGTGGGGGGAAGAGACCCAGAGAGAAGAGGACCAAGACCCAGAGAGAGGGGGGAACAGAAATCAGAGACAGGGAGACAGAGACCTAGAAGAAGAGAGGACAGCAAGGCACATGTGCGGAAATGAGGGTTAAGGTGGCCTTCGCGTTTGGGTTACAAGTTTTGGAATCAGAGACAAGCAAGCAGCAGGGGTCTTCTAGGGCTGGAGAAACTAGGTTCACACACCAGCTGTCACTCCATGCCTCAGTTTCCCTGTTCCAAGTGGCAGATGCTGGCGGAAGGGGTGGGGACGTCCCCACTCCATTCTAGGGCTGGCAGCAAGTGGTGCAATTGTGGAGGGGGGAGAGTGTGAAATGAGGCGGGGGATTCTGGGATCATCCTGGGTGTGGGAGGTAGAAGGTCAGGGGTCCGGGGTCAGGCCCCGCCCTCACCAGTAGTCCCCGTAGGGCAGCTTGAGCCTCGGCCTGGCCAGCTTGACGTGCTGCTGACGGACGACGAAGGCGAGGACCTCCTCGTCTGATAGGTGGCGGTAGGGCTGTGCCCCAAACTCAAACAGCTCCCATAGGGTCACCCCTAGGGACCTGCGGGGTGCAGAGGGCAGAGGAAGGTCAGAGCCCTGCCCTGACGGGCCAGGGGGCCTCCCCTCCAGGCCTCAGTTTCCCCAACCGTAGAACCTGTGACCCTTCCGCCTTCCTTGCCCTCCTCGGCCGCCCCCCGGCCCGGGCCCCTCACCAGATGTTGCTCTCGCGGCTCTGGTCCACCACCATGAAGGTCCCGTGCAGCTCCCCGAGGAGCTCGGGCGCTGCCCAGCGCAGCGGGATCCACAGGCGCTCGGGGGTCAGGTAGTAGTCCTCCTGGGTGTGGGCGGCACGGGGCGCGGTCAAGCAGGCCGGGACGCCCCCCCGCCTCCTCCCAGCTCTGATGGAGGCCAGCCCTCACCTTGTAGTTGCTGTGCGCCAGCCCGTAGTCTCCGATGCGCACAGTGAGGTCGGAGGTCAGCAGGCAGTTGCGCAGGGCCAGGTCGCTGGGGGCGGGCGAGGGGGGGCGAGGTAAGAAGCGGGTAGCTAGGGGAAGCCCGCCCCCCCTTCCTAGACCCCGCCCACTTTCCCGCACTGCTCCCCTTCCCTCTTCTTTTCCTCCCTCCTCCTCTCCTACCTTGACTCCTCCCCCTCCCCTGACTCCTCCCTCTCTTCTGTGACCCCTCCTCCCTTCCTGACTCCTCCTCTACTCTTCTGACTCCGCCTCTTCCCTCTGACCCTCCTGCGCTTTCCCCCCTTTTTGTGTCTCCCACTCAGGCCTCCTTCCATCCTTAAACTCCTCCCCTGTGGCCTCACCTCCCACTCCCGTAGCCTGGCCTCTTTCCCCTAAGTAGTCCCCTCCCCCCCCAATTCCGCCCGGTGACTCCCGGGCTGCCACCTGTGCACATAGTTGTGGGAGTGGAGATGTGCCAGCCCGCGGGCGATCTCCAGGCCCATTCTCTGCAGTGTCCGCAGGTCTCGAGGGGGCAGCTCAGGGGACAGGCCCTCGGGGGGCCGCTGGGCCCGAAGGTAACGCTTCAGGTCCCCCTGGGAGAGAGGGCAGGGAGGGGTCAGCACCACCGCCCCATCCCAGGCACCCACACCAGGCAATCCGAGGCGAGGATGGGATGACCTCTGCCCTCAGTGGGCAGCCCCCTCTGGGCCTCAGTTTCCCCTGCTGCTTAGAAGCGCACAGGAACAGCACCCCCACACACCTCATGCGTTAGTTCAGGGCGCACCACCTGGGGAGTGAGTGCTCATCTACAGAGATGGCAGTGCTTGTCACAGGTGTTGCTCTGATGATGCTGATGATGTCATTGCTGCAGATCCCTAGGAACTGCCCTGAGCCCTTACCCCGCCCAGCTCCCGGCTCTGCCTTCCCCGCCCCAGACCCTCACCAGCTGACAGAACTCCATAATCA